ATTACTACATACACCATGTTTATGATGAGTATATATTTGTTTTACCTTTATATTTTTATTTTATACTACTACAATAATGACACATATTCTACTTTTCCTGTAAAAAAGAGAGACACCTTTCAAGGAAAATATATGAAAAGCAATTATGATTACTCTGATTTTACAGATGAAAAGCTGATGGAAACATTATCAATAACCTATCTAATAGTTAAGAGTCAATTCTTCCAACTCCTAACAGCAACGTATGAAAATAATTATTCACATATCTCAACTCCCATTTCTAATTTTTGACAGAGTCCCTTTAGCTTTTCTGAATACTGTATACAAGATTGCCCTCTATAACAACTATGAAATGGATGAGAATAAATTATTAATACCCTTGCTGACCAGTTTCTCCTTTGAGAGGCAGAGATGAAATATTAAAATTTGCTTCAAATTCCATTCACCAGTGTAGGGATGGAGCAAAAACACTCCAAAATGGCCACCCTAAGGTCAACTTAAACCATTATCTCCTACCTCTTCCCCCTGCTCTGGCTATGCATAACTAAACTCCCTGCTCTCATGCTTCAGTTATGCATGTGCTACTAATAAGGGGCAGACAGCCCCCTCCTCCCACTATGTGCCTCTAGGAAGGGGCAGGCAGCCCTGCATCCTGTGGTTTTCTTACCTCTTCTGTGTTCCACATAACACCCTTAACTGCCCTGACACATGTGAAGCTTATGTGTCCTATGATATAAAAAGACCCTAGCCCACAGCCCTAGCACGTAGAGTTTTAAATGCCCAGCTGACTGCCACTGGAAACTGCTGTTCTTGTCTTGGTTACTTAAGTTTCCCTGTTGATAAACTGTCTCTCCTGTTTTCTTTTCTTTAATAAACTGATGTCTCTTGGATTGGTTCAGGTCGTTTTTTCAGTCTTTTGGCATCTATGTAAGCAGGCTTTTCCCTCCTGGGTCTAAACCCCAACAACCAGTTAGCAAAAGTATAAGAAAAAAAGTGTTAAATGTACATTCTTAAAAAAAAAAAAAAAGTACATTCTTCTACTTTTACAAGGGTTGTTTCCAATACCAAGATGAGAGCAGCTGGCAACAAGATGAAATCTAAACATTTCAGAAAAATGATCTGCTTTGTTTGTTTTATACCAGCAAAAATGAAAAATCCAAAAAGACAGCCTGAAATTAGCCACTTTAAAAGGACCTGTTGAGAAAACAAAATCATTTAACACGTTGTTGTTGTTACGTGCCGTTGAGTCAGTTTTGACCCACAGCAATGCTATATATACAGGGTTTCCAAGGAATAGCTAGTGCGCTTGAACTGATGACCTTGTAGTTCACAATGACTTTGCAGTCTAGCGCATTAGCACACAGTGCCATACCAGGGCTCCATTTAACAGGTTGTTGTTGTTGTTAAGTGACATCGAGTCGATCCTGACCCATAGAGACCCTGTATTGGGTTTCCTAGGAGCAAGTGGTGAGCTTGAACCGCCAATCTTGCAGTTCAAATGGCTTTGCAGTCTGGTGCATTAACCCACAGCGCCACACCACAACTCCCACTTAACAGGCTGTTGTTTGTTGTTAAGTGCCATGGAGTCGGTTCCAACCCATAACGATGCTGTATAAGGTTTCTGAGGAGCAGCTGGTGACCTTGAACTGCTGGGCTTGCAGTTCAAACGACTTTGCAGTCTGGCGCATTAACCCACAGCGGCTGTTGTTGTTATGTGCTGTAGAGTCAGTTCCTACTCATAGTCGGACCCTGTACAGCATTTCCGAGGCTATAAATCTTTACAGGAGCAGAAAGCCTCATCTTTCTTCCGCGGAACGGCTGGTAGTTTCGAACTGCTGACCTTGCGGTTCGCAGTCCGATTCGTAACCACTACACTACCAGAGCTCCTTTCCCACAGCAGTAGTCACTTATAAACCATTCATACTCATTTTTCTGAGGCCAGTCTTAAATGTCACTTCTTTTCTGTAGCTTTTTCTAAAAGACTTCAATCCAAAGATGTTTCTTAATTTACATTTTAGAATTCTTAGAACACACATATTTTATAAAACATCATATTGCAAGTATGTTAATAAGCTTTTGTTTCTTACTTTGAGATTCTTGTTGTTGAGAGCCATCAAGTTGGTTCGGACCCATACATAGCGACCCTGTAGAGGGTTTCTAAGGAGTGACTGGTAAGCTTGAACTGTCGACCTTGTGATTCAAATGACTTTGCAGTCCAGCATATTAATCCACAGCACCACGCTAGGACTCCCTATGGAAACCCTATCAGTTTCCAAAAGGGTGGCTATGAGTCATAATTGACTCCAGCATTAATAGCAAAATTTAAAAAAACAACAAAAAACCCGAAAACAAATGTTGGTAGAGTGTGAAGAGACTAGGACCCCCCTCCTAGCCCTTGCTATTGGGGCTGTAACATGGTGCAATCACTGTGGAAAATGGTATGGTATTTTCTTAAAAAGGTGGAAATAAAAATACTGTATGATCCAGCAATTCCTCTACTTGGTATATATTCCCAAGAAATAAGATCTATGACACAGATATACGCACATCCATGTTCAGTGTAGTACTATTCACAAGAGCAAAACGATGGAGGCAGCCTAAATGCCCATCAACAGAAAAAGGATTAAATAAACTTAGGTATATACACATAATGGGTCACCTAATGTTGAAGAGTAACAAAGAATCTGCAAAACACCTTACAACATGGATGAACCTGAAGGACATTATATTGAGTGAAATTAATCAATCACAAAAGTTAAAAAGAGAAAGATTCTTGATAAAATAAATGTTTTATGATGGTTACTAGGACTGGAAGGTGGGGGTGGGAGTGGAATTATTCACAGGCTAGAAGGTTCAAGTTAACATAGAAGATGGGCAGGCAATAACGAGAGATGGTGGTAGAAGATGAAGGTAGCTGGAGACCCAGGAGGGAATGTAAGAGTTAAAGAAATAGAGGTGAATACTGGTAACTGATGGTATATGGAAAGAACTGCAATCACTGTAATGAAGCAAAATATATGTAAAAGTGATATAAAACTGATGTTGTGCTCTGATATCACTCAATTCATAATACAAAGTTAAAAAAAAAAAAAGAAACTAAATGTAAAGGCCAAATACTAGATTTTAAAGGCTGATTACTAAAATATTCAATGGAAAACCCAGTGTATTTTCAAGAACAGCTCTTCCTGCCATCCACTTGAAAGCATTATATTCATTCTGTCAGAACTCTAAAAGGAGGTGAAAGCTTCTAGAATCTCAGGGCATGAAAGCTAATACACTCAAGCGTGGTTAGTTCACTTTAATAAATCCTTACATATTTATACAGAACCTTTAAACAGATCAATTAATATGTTGTTCAGGACAGCTGACAAATCTAAACAAACTAGAAAATGCTATGAAAAATTTAATGGCTTTCTTAATGCCCTAAAACATTATCAAAATTCACTGTAAAACTTTTTGTTGTTTAGTGTTGTCTAATCACTTTCGACTCATAGCAACCCTGTGTAGGCTGTCCAAGGAGTGGCTGGTGAGTTTCAGGCACCAACCTTGGGATTCAAATCGACCTTGCAGGCCAATGCATGTCCTACAGCACCACACCAGAACTCCAAAGTAAAGCTGCTGTTGTTAAATGCCCTTGAGTCCGATCCGACCCACAGTGACCCTGTATAGGGCTTCCGAGGAAACCTGGTAAGCTCGAGCTGCTGACCTAGCAGTTCAAAGTGACTGTGCAGTCACTTTTTTTCCAGGATTAAAAAATAATAATATTTTAGTAAATAAAACTACTTAAGCTGTTGTTGTTGAGTGCTGTCCAGTCGTTTAAGACCCATAGCGACCTTGTGTACGAAAACTACTTATAGGTGGTAAAAAATAAAAAAAAAAAAAGGGGGGGGGCCCCCTCTGGTAGTGCAGCGGTTAAAGCGCTGGGCTGCTAACTGGAAGGTCAGCGGTTTGAACCTATCAGCCTGTCCTAAGGACAAAGATCTGGCAGTCTTGGAGACCCTGTGTTGGCAGTTCTGCTCTGTGAGGGCGAATCGGTATCCACTTGCTGGCAAAGGCTTTTATAGTTGGTACAGAAGAGTTTCTGAACTGTCAAAATCATTAGTGGTTTCAAACAGATTCTCATGCCCCAAATGGGAAGTATTAACAACAAAATATTGTAATCGTGTATGTTGACTGTGATGCCCTACACAGAGTAATCTAAAAGCTTCTTTTACTATGAAACTGAAAACTGTCATGGAGAAAGCCTTGTCCAAGTTTTCAACAGTTGCCCCAGAAAAAAAACACGTTTTCTTTGCCTTTTTAGGTATTTAAAATGATCTCAGATAAGCTAAATAGTGGTGTTTCACATATATATTTGCGTATTAAAAGTTTTGTTCACCCTGTAAAGACAAAAACTGTCTCAGCCACTACAGCAAATCCTTATTGATGCAATTATTACTGTTCTGAGTGTAGTATTTGTGAAATAAGGAACCAACTGCTAACCGTGAAGTTAGATACCAAAGTCCTAGAAAGAAAAGACTCTCATAACCAACCGGGAGTTCCAGGAACTAACAATAAAACAGGAAGTAATCAAGTTAAAAGTTAATGGAAGCTCTAACTGTGCTGGAGTCGTTCGCGTCGCAGGCGTCATCGCCCACGTCTTTAGCGAGCTAAAGAACCCGGGCTGTGAGCAAACACTCTCGGAACGATTGCAAACTAACTTGCATCCAACTTAAAGGTCTGGAGTGGTGAAGCCCAACTCCTGGTTTAATAAAACTGAGCAGTTCCTCTCACAACTTAGCAAGACTTAAGGCCCACCGAGCCCTTCGTACTCCAGCCCTGGAAGGGCATTTCAGCTTCCCAACCAACGTCAACCAAGTCCAGGCGCTTCTGGTGGAAGTCGACCCAACCCACTGCTACGCCCCCTTTCTCTTTGCTTCGAGCCGGGGGGGCCCCAGCTCTCCTAGAAAGGAGAGTTTCCCTTCCGACAGTGGCCTGAGGATCTGCCGGTCCTCACCCACCTTGCAATCGCCGCTCTTTTTTTCTTCCTCGCAGAAGTTGACCGGCGCCAAGCCGGGCAGGTAGAAAGCGTCGCTCGGACGTTGGCCTGGGGCCGCCCCTAGCAGGATCAGCGACAGCAGAAACAGCCGCGGCCACCGAGGTGGAAACAACGCCAGCAGCCTTACACTCATGTCGGCTGTTTAGTGGAAAGAGCAGCCGAGCTTATGGGGTAAAGAGGAGAGAAGGACGGAAGCGGGGTCTCGAAGACCGCTGGAGATGAAGGAGGCCAGCCCCACGAATGATAGTTCCGGTTGCGCTAGGAGACTCCGCGGGGTCCCCACCCCCAACAGAAATCGAACGGGATCCCAGCAGAGCATGCGCAGCACCATCAGAGCATGCGCAGCGTCATTTGCACATGCTCAGTAAGAGCGGTTCCAATAGTTTCCGGGAGGGAGCGTGGAGAAAATCCACTTTCCAGGTTTTCAGCGGGTCAGCTCGGCTGGAAGCTGGGGAGCTGTTCCGGTGCTTAAATTCTGATTCTGAATTCCGATCTAGAACTCCCTTGGGGCTCAGAGGAGTGTTTTGCTTGTTCAGCGGTTACCGTTTGCTGCTGCTGCTGCTGTATTAAATTTCCCATAAACAACATACTGTGTGCTTACTTCACTGCCAGTAGCCCTCCGACGCTTATCACAGAGTAGGTATTCCAGGAAGTATTTGCTGATGAATTTAGAGTAGGTGGCAGAACTGGAAGGTAAAGTTCGGGACACTTCTGGTTGAGAGCAGGATAAGGAAACAAATAGGGAGGAACAAGCCACAAATCCTCAAATAGAGGAATATGCACTTTACAGGCTCTGGAAGTGTTGACGCATTCTTGCGTGAGACAGCAATTGTTTGCACAGAATAAACAGACCTCGTTAAGGTGGAAATGAGATGGGGAGCAAAAAGGGAGCAGGCGATTTGAAGAACGTAGTGTTGACATTTCTTTGCAATAGACGCCATGGCACACCCTAAGGCTCAAAGAGGAAAAGTGTTAAATGCCGTCGAATCGGTTCTGACCCATAGCGACCCTGTATAGGGTTTCCGAGGAGCAACTGGTGAACTTGAATCGCCGATGTTGCCATTCCAAATGGCTTTGTAATCCAGTGCATTAACGCAGTGCCACGCCAGGACTCCTTGAGCAAATCCCTGTCATTTCCTCCAATGATGTGACTTAATTGATGTCTGTTTATCTACATATACGTGTGTGATGGTTTTTCTGAGCATCTTCAATAAGAAGCTTGATCTTTCGGTGACATGAAAAGTCAATTGAGCTTTTAATTTCTTTTGAAGTTTAGGAGAATGTATCATTTTAGCCTACATAGCAAATCATGATAACCTTTGGATACATCCAGAATTTAGGAAAGTTTTGAGTCCCATAAAATCGGATCTAAATTTTTTAGGGTGTTTTTTAATATTTTTATACATTTTTATATGTCGCCTTGGAAAGGTTTATAACTTTTATTAAATTTTCAAAGGGGTCTTATGATGCTCCAAAAAGGTTAAGAACACTAATCTACACTATGCAGTAACCAGAACAATGAAATAAAATTCTTGTTTACAAAGGTAACTTGCACTGAACCAGATTTACCAACTTTGGAATACCATTTTCTAGTCATGTGACCTTGGACAAGTTAATTAATCAAGTCCCAGGTTCTTCAATTGAGAAGTGAAGAGAAAAGAATGCCCATGTTAAAATCAAATGAAAAAAAAAAATGCATGTAAAATACACATTGGTTGGCAATATAGAGGATCCTTAGCAGTGCAAAAGTGCCTAGATGGTCAATCTCTTCTGCTTACCCAATGATACTGAATACTTGGTTTCAAGGCAGAAGGTATTTTCAATCCCCAAGCAGAGGGGACATAGGTGGTCTACATACACTATAATAGCACAAGAAAACAAAACAAAAGCATCTGATTTTAAACATTTTAAGACAAATTAAGGAAAATAATTTAATAAAAAATATACTTGGACTCTTGTCTGTTAATGCTTCCTTATAGGTTCTGCCAAGGATCACTGGTAGCATAGTGGGTTACAAATTTTGCGCTAACTACAAGGTCAGCTGGACAGTGAATAAGGAAGACTGTAGAAGAATTGATGCTTTTGAGTTATGGTGTTGGAGGGGAATACTGAAAGTGCCATGGGCTGCCAAAAGAACCAATAGATCCGTTTTGGAAGAAGTACAGCCAGAGTGCTCCTTGGAGGCCAAGATGACCAAACTTCATCTCTCATACTTCAGACATATTGTCAGGAGGAACATATTGTCTGGAGAAGGACATGTTTGGTAAGGTGGAGGATCAGAGAAAAAGCGGAAGACCCCCAACAAGATGGATTGGCCAGGTGGCAGCATTGATGGTTTCAAGCGTGGCACAGTAGTGAGGTTGGCCCAGGATCAGACAGTGTTTAGTTCTGCTGTGCATGGGTTCGCTATGAGTCGGTTCCGACTTGATGGCATCTAACAACAACAACAACAACAACAGCAAAGTCAGCCGTTCAAATCTACCAGCTGCTTCACAGAAAGATGGGGCTTTCTGCTCCCATAAAGATTTACGGTCTTAGAAACCCTATACAAAGTCACCGTGAGTTGGAACCACCTTAACAGAACACAAATTATCATAGCTTTGGTAGCCTGACTAATGCAGATACCCAGTGATGCTCCCATTTCTGTCCAAGGTGCTTTCTGGACTCCCATTTGTGGTACACATTTGGTAAATTGGATTCATTCTAACATAGAAGTGAAATTTTCCTGTGAGATTAAAATAGCAATTAGTTAGTTCTTCAGTACAGAGTATTTTCTACAGAGGGCTTCACATGCCCTACTTATGCCACTGTGCCAGGGTGCATAGGCTTAGTGGTGCTGTGGGTTAAGTGTTGGACTGCTAACCTCAAGGTTGGCAGTTCAAACCCACCAGCCACTCCTCAAGAAAAAGATCAGGCTGTCTGCTTCCATAAAAGCTTACTGTCTTGGAAACTCTTTGTAGGGTCTCTGAGTGGGAACTGATTCAACAGTAGTGGATTTGGTTTTGGCTATAACCTGGGGGTACATCCACCTCAGAGTTCAAGGATGGGCAGGAAAGGACTTCAGGAAAGTTTTGATCCCTATTAAATTGGATCTAAATTTTTGTGCTTATACGTTTTGCCCAGAAAAAATGAACATTTCAAAAGTTTTCAATTAACTTACATCAACTACTTAATAATTGTTTTGATAGTATTTTGTAAAATTAATTTCTTAATACTTAGCAAATCTGGCTCCTCACTAAACCCAGTTACCTGATGATTACGTGGCTTGCTCTACACTGTCTCACCGCCCCCACCCCATCGTTTCCTCACCTTTAGAAATGGAATAGCAGTCCATTTGTTTCTCAGGCCCTACACCTAGTCCTTTACCAGACTTATTCAACCTGTATGCTGAGCAAATAATACAAGAAGCTGGGTTCTATGAAGAAAAACGTGGCATCAGGATTGGAGGAAGACTCATTATTAACAACCTGCGATATGCAAATGATACAACCTTGCTTGCTGAAAGTGAAGAGGACTTGAAACATTTACTAATGAAGATCAAAGAACACAGCCTTCGCTATAGATTGCATCTCAATGTCAAGAAAACAAAAATCCTCACCACTGGACCAATAAACAACATTCTTATCAACGGAAAAAAGATTGAAGTTGTCAAGGACTTCATTCTTCTTGGATCAACTATCAACATTCGCGGAAGCAGCAGTCAAGCGATCAGACGACGTATTGCATTAGGCAAATCTGCTGCACAGGAACTTTATAAAGTATTGAAGAGCAGAGATGTCAGCTTGAGGACTAAGGTGTGCCTGACCCAAGCCATGGTATTTTCAATAACCTCATATGGATGCGAAAGCTGGACAGTGAATAAGGAAGACTGTAGAAAAATTGATGCCTTTGAATTGTGGTGTTGGAGGAGAATACTAAAAGTGCCATGGACTGCCAAAAGAACCAATAGATCTGTTTTGGAAGAAGTGCAGCCAGAGTGCTCCTTGAAGGCCAAGATGGCCGAACTTCGTCTCTCGTACTTTGGACATGTTGTCAGGAGGGAACAGTCACTGGAGAATGATGTCATGCTGGGTAAGATGGAGGGTCAGAGAAAAAGAGGAAGACCCCCAACGAGATGGATCAGCCAGGTGGCATCATTGATGGCATCAAGTGTGGCAGCGGTGGTGGGGTTGGCCCAGGATCGGACATTGTTTCGTTCTGCTGTGCATGGGGTCGCTATGAGTCGGTTCCGACTCAATTGCACCTGACAACAACAACAACACCTAGGATAAACCCTTAATTTCTCATTTCCTTACTCTCCACATCCAACTCATCAGCAAACCCTGTTCGCTGGACTGCCAAACTATAGACTAAATTATTTCACCAGGTGTTGTGAGTCAATTCTGTCTTATGGAGACTTCATGCAGTGTAGAGAACTGCCATCCCTTCAGGCTGATTGCTAGGCCTTACTTCCAAAGTTCCTATGGGTTTGTTGTTGTTGTTGTAAAGTGCTATCGAGTTGATTCCGACCCATAGTGATCCTGTAAGGGTTCCCGAGGAGCAGCTGGTGAGCTTGAACCTCTACCCTTGGAATTCAAATGGCTTTGCAGTCTGACGCATTAACCCACAGTGCCACATCAGGACTCCATGAATTGACTTGTGTCCCCATCTTCTACCAAATATATGTCAATTCTCAGTGGTCTGACTACCTCCCACGATGTGATCAGGGTATTAGGATGGGATTGCAACACACTTACTCAATTCACAGCACTGGGTTGTGGCCTATATCACCTTTCTATCTTAGATAAAAGGAGAAAGGAGTAAACATAGAGAAAGAGGGATTTACTACCACGAAGAAAGGAGTCAGGAGTGGAATGCATCTTTTGGACCCCAGGTCTCTGCGCCGGTGAGAGACACCTAGACTCAAGGAAAGACTGATGTCCAGACACATGGAGATCTTCAAGGAATGTCAACTCCACAGATGCTGAAAGTACCAATAATCTTCCTTCTCAACTATGAGATAACAGAAAACTTCTCCTAGAGCTGTCACCCTAAATTCTGACTTGTAGCTTCAAATTACCAGCTGGCTCTGTATTTAAATTTCATAAATGGAATGGTATTATTATGTTCTTGTACTTTTAGTCTAGAGCCAGGATGCTATCAAGCATGTGATGTAATCTTTTCCTTAAATGATTGAAATGGCACCGAGCAATTAGGGATTTAGATGTGTATGAATCCAAACACAAATTTATTGATGTTGAGTGGATTCCAACTCATAGAGACTCCAAGCACTCCCGAGTAGAGCTGCTCCATAAAGTGTTTTGACTGTAATCTTTATGGCCACATTTTGCCA